GCCACTCACCCCTACGGCGCCGACTTCCCTTCTGCCGGGTGAGTGCTCGCTCACCCTCCGCCTCTTCCTGCCCCTGCACCGCCCTTGCTCCGCCCCCATTCCACTCCCTTTCCCCAAGTCCCCGCCCCTGCCCTGCCTCTTCTCCGCCTCCTCCCCTGAGCTCGCCACATCCCCGCTCCTCCCCACTCTCTCCTGGAAAGCGCTAAGCGCCGCCAAACAGCTGTTAGGTGGCAAGAAGCGCTGGAGGGGGGGAGGCGAGGAGGGGGAGCTTGGCTGCAATTTTTCCCCATGGGTGCTCCAGCCCTGGAGCACCCACGGGGTCAGCGCCTCCCTCCGTTCGCCTCCTTACCTGAATATCGGGACAAATGGCGTCCCAATCATACATTGATCGGGACGTGGGACAAAGGGTTAAATAGTGGAACAGTCCCGATTTTATCGGGACATCTGGTCACCCTACACTACATGATCACATTCACAATGGTCCCTTCTGGCCTTGGAGTCAACAAATCGATGAAACTTCAGAGTGAGCATCAGGTTCCCCTACCCCACCTCAACCCAACCCACCATACCCCACTCTTCAGCGTCAACTTCACAATGCTGCATCTTGCCCTGATGCTTCCAGGTCAGAGACCTTCTCCCACCCTTCTGAAGCCATGGAGGGGCTGCTAGGCAAGGCTAATCCCAGCGCCAGACAAATGGTTCAGGTGCACTGACTCCATTCTGAGCCTTTTCATCTGTGGTGTTTGACAGGAACAGGAGAAAGGTCTCGGTGCCCTGGAGGGAGTGGGTTTCCGAGTGGGCCAAGGACTCTCGGAGAGGTGAGTGCAGAGTACCAGAGCACAGGCGGGGTGGGGTGGGAGATTCATGGAGTGACGGTGGAGGAGGAAGTTTAACATGGACGACAGATCGGCAGCAGCTCCCAGTACAAAGCGGTCCCTGTGAACTGGGAGTGAATCAGAGTCTGAAATGGAGCCCGATGAGCACCAGGGAGGGAAGGCCCCAGGAGCAGTGGCGTAGCCAGCTTCTAAGAGGAGGGGGAGCAAACATAAAAAAGGCGTCCCCCCCTTGGCTCCTCCTCTGGCCATGCCCCCCTTGGCTGGCTCCTCCTCCGGCTGCACCGCCCCTCCACCCCCCATGGCTCCTCCAGCCCTGCCATGCCACCCCCGCAGGCCCCCCTCCTCGCTCCTCTGGCCGCGGCTGCCGGCCGCCATGCTGCGCCCCCCCGCTCCTCCAGCTGCGCCCGCCGTCCCCCGTGGCTGCCGGCCGCCACCCTGCGCCCCCCCTGCTCCTCCGGCTGTGGCAGCCAGCCGCGCTGCGGGCCGCATGCTGCGCCTCCCCCCGCTCCTCCGGCCGCACACCCGCCGCCCACCCAAACCACATTTGTTCATCAGACACCCACACAAACCTTCTATGTTGCTCTCTCAGCCTAGAACTGAGATACTGTGTATACCAGCCAATCAATACAATTCAGAGTAAGGATGAGGTCAGTCTGTGATGGCTGAAGCCAGATTGAGAGTTTTTTTTAGCTCTTGGATTTCGGTTTGGCCCATGATACAGGTAGGGGTCAGAGATGAAACATGGAATGGATCCCCCCCCGCTCCCCCCCCCGCCGCCAGCCACGCCCCCGCTGCCCCCCCATGGCCGCCCGCAGCCAGCCTGCGCCCCCCCTCGCTCCTCCAGCCGCCTTTGGAAAGGCACCGCTTTTGGCAAATTTGCTGAGGGGAAGCGACTGCTTCCCCTGCACCCCGCTAGCTACGCTACTGCCCAGGAGGGGCCGGGACATGGCAGGGGTCCTGAAGCTGGATTCACTTCTAATTTTGGCACCGTTTGCTCTGGGCTCCCCTTGCTTGGGCTGTCTGCCCTCCTGCAGTTCCTCCTGCCCACTGTTGGCTTAGCTGATGGGCAGAGTTTTGGATGTTGGGCTAGGCCGGGGTGGCTGATTCCATGGGGGATGTGTCCTAAAACCATGAGAGAGCACAAAGGAAGCGCATTTGTGATTTAAGAGCCTGAAGCTCATTGACTCAAATAGACACAGAAAGTGAATGATATTTAGGCTCCTAAGCGACTTCGTTGTTTCTGAAAATGTTTAGCCCTTCTGTTTCCATGCTGTTGAGCTGTTAAGTGAAAAGCACTTCCAAACGCCGGAGTGGCTTCAATCCCCCTTGCTTGTGCTGAAGGGGCTCCCAGCTCCCTTCCCGGGCAGGGCTCCAAGCCCAGCCCTGAGTAAATCCAACTTCCCTTCTGATACATCTAGTGCTTAATCTCTTTTGACAAGATAGAAGGGAAACAGGAACTGATGGAGCTAGAGCCCCGGGCAGTCTGCCAATGATCCTGTCAGCATTGCTCTGACAGGTGACTCAGCTCCGGGTTTTCTCTAGTCCCGCTGCCTGATACTGTAGGACCCATTCAAAGAGACAATTACCAAACGCTGCGATTTCCCCCTTCTGCTGAAGGTTGACAAAGGAGACTCCGTCATTCAAGGATGAGCTGGACGCCCTGAAATTCCTCTGCAAGGATCTGTGGATAACCGTCTTCAAGAAGCAGGTGGATAATCTGCGCACCAACCATCAGGTAAGAGCTGCGAGGCTTTCCCCTGCTCCCAGGATGACTGGATGCTCTCCCACAGTTTTGTCTTGGCCTTTGCAGGCTCCTCCTTAGGAGGGGAAGATAGCTCAGTGGTTTGAGCATTGGTTTGCTAAACCCAAGGTTGTGAGTTCAATCCTTGAGGGGGCCATTTAGGGTTCTGGGGCAACAAACAAACAAACAAAAATTGGGGATTGGTCCTGCTTTGAGCAGGTGGTTGGACTAGATGACCTCCTGAGGTCCCTTCCAACCTTGATAGTCCATGATTTTATCTCAGTGTCCCTGCTGCACCATGCAGACGGGTGAGAAGAGAAGCATTCATTCTCCCCAAAATCTATCTTAAAACAGAAAAACTTCAAAAACAGACTCCAACGAGAGACTGCTGAGCTGGAATTGATATGCAAACTAGACACAATCAACTCAGGGCTAAATAGGGATTGGGAATGGCTGAGCCATTACAAACATTGAATCTATCTCCCCTTGTAAGTATTCTCACACTTGCTTCTTATCAAACTGTCTGTACTGAGCTATCTTGATTATCACTTCAAAAGTTTTTTTTCTCTTACTTAATTGGCCTCTCAGAGTTGGTAAGACAACTCCCACCTGTTCATGCTCTCTGTATGTGTGTATATATATCTCCTCAATATATTTCACTCTATATGCATCCGAAGAAGTGGGTTGTAGCCCACGAAAGCTTATGCTCTAATAAATTTGTTAGTCTCTAAGGTGCCACAAGTACTCCTGTTATTCTCCCCAAAGTACTTCTTGCTCCATAGCTTATTCCAAGAGGAGGGTGGAGAAAGGACTAGGCTGCTGCCCCAGGTAGTATCAAGAGGCCTGAGCAAACATTTGAGTCTGGCATTGTGGCTCAGGGGTGTGTGGCACAAGCGCAGCCTTATTTCCAGGAGAACAGAGCTCCTCAGCTGAGGACCCTCCAGTAAGAATGCCCAGCCCCAGAGTTCCACCCTATTGTCCCCATTGTCCTGGGGAGAGAGGTGGTCACTGAGGTTGGCAGGTCCTAGCCCATTAGAGCTCAGAGATTAATACAAAGACCATGAAATGTATCCAGAACTGGACCAGAGTGTTCTGGGAGTCCTGTGCCTGTCCCTGCTCTGGAACTGACCTGACTTAGATTCCGAGGTGCCATTTGCAGATCAGGGGTCCCTCTGAAGGCTGCATCAGAGACAGCGAGTGCACTGACCAAGGGGCAGCTGGAGTACTCCCCCCGCAGAGCAGCACTGGGATCATTTAGTGGAAGGAAGTGCCCTTCCTGCTGTGCTAGGATTGGGGGCTTGGCATTGCGTGAGCCTGTGGCCGTCAGTGATGGATTTCTAGGCGATGGTGATGATCTCATGTGCTGCGCAGGGGGCACCCTGGTATATGCTGCTCACACAGTCTGACTCTTGGTTTCATTTCTAACGGGCCTAGTATTTGCGGCTCTGAGGCCCAGCCATCTTGACTTATTTTGCCTCCCAAACCCACAGATCTCTCATTCCCGCAGGGAACCTACATGCTGCAAGACAATCAATTCCTCCTCCTAAGCCAGCTGTCCAATGGGAAGCAGTACCTGGAGGAGGCACCCAAGGTAAGCCCAACGTGGGGACATCCTCCAGTAGAAGCACCTCCTCCTTGTTTGTCAGGGCCACAGGAAAGGCTGCACTGTGACCTCTGTCATCACGGCTAAACCCCTCTTCAGTGTTCAGATCCCCCATATAAAACCCAACAGATTAAATTCCTCCAAAGCAGTCGTGGACATGCTGTATGTTGGCTTTTGCCAGGCTTTGCAAGCTGTCTAGCAAGCCAAGCTGGAAGCTGAATCCGAACCAGGTAGGCCTTGTGGCTGCTTTCCCCCTGTGACTGACTGCCCCTCCCAAGCTCAGAGAGCCCATATTAGGTTATAAGATCTTTGGGGCAGGGACCAGGCCTTTCTACCTCATCTGGGGGGCCACAGCATACCTTGGATGTACTAAAATAATAAACACAGCTGCATGGACTCTGACCTGGCCTGCTCTCCTGTGCTCTGGGTTCCAGGTCCTCTGGTGAAGTCCATCACTGTTGTCCTTTGAACTTGGAGCTCGTGTAACTCTTCAAAGCCCATATAAGAGCTAATGGGATGCTCGGATGCATTAATGGCATGGGTGGCGTGTGAACCGCCCATTGGGGCAGGCTATCCCCCAGCCACTTCCCTTCTGCCTGAGGCCCTGCCCCATCCCCGCCAGAGCCTAGAGCAACCCCACCACGGCCACTGGCTCCCCAGGCCACCTGAGCGCCCCCAATCCCGGAACGCCGAACAGGCAGTCCCCAGCCCCAGAGCGCCGGGTGGGCGGGCGGGCGGCCCCCAGCCCCGATGCGCTGGGCGGTGCGAGCACTGGCCCCAGTCGCCCCGAGTCCCAGCCACAGGCTGGCCCGCCCCCACCCGAGCCACGGGGGAAGAGCGGGAACTGGAAGCAGGCAGGAGAGGGTCTGGGGGCGAAGCATGGGCAGGGCCACGCTGGGCTGTTTGGGGCGGCTCAGCCTCCTCTGGCCTGTTATACCCGCCGCCCACGGTTAACGGGAGTAGTGAGTAGTAGCAGGAGGGTGATTTTCCCTCTGTAGAACATTGATGAGACCAGTACTGAGATGCTGCCTCCAATTCTGGGGTCCACGTTTTAAAAAGGGTGTTGGAAAAATTGGAGCGGGTGCAGAGAAGAGCTACCAGAATGACTGGGGAGAAACTAAAGAGTTCAGTCTCTGTAGTTTATCCAAAAGACAGTTACGGTTACATGTGGAGGAGATTTCTGGTTTTTTTATCTAGCCAAGTGAGTTAGAACAAGTTCCAGTTACTGGAAGCTGAAATTAGATAAACTCAGAGTAGGAATAACAAATTTTTAACAGTCAGAGTAACTAACCACTGGGAGAATTCACCTAAGGGTGGTGCGGATTCTCCACCACTTGGAGTCTTTAAATTAAAATGGGACATCTTACAGAGAGACGCTGTTCTCAGCCCTAAGTTACGGGCTTGATGCAGGAATCGGTGGGGGAGGTTATCTGGCCTGTGTTATGTAAGAGATCCAAGCAGATGATCATAACTGTTATTTCTGGTCTTACAATGGATGGGTGAAATCCTGGGCCCACTGAAGTCAATGGTAGAACCCCCACTGAGTTGGGCAAGCCCGGATTTCACCAGAAGAGTCCATGACTGTGAGGATAATTCCCTAATTCCTGAGGTCCCTTCCGACCCTGATAGTCTATGATTCTATTGGTTAGCCACTGGGGCAGTCTGCACATAGAGAGAGTCACTCCCAGTCTAGCTAGTGAGTCCTAGCTCGATCCCCCTCTACCTAGGGCAAGTACTGCTGCTCCAGAATGCCCCCCAGGGGAGAACTGACCGGCTCTCTGCCTTTCCTGTAGTTTCTCGCCTTTACATGTGGCCTTGTGAAAGGAGCTCTCTCCAACCTGGGCTTTGACAGCACTGTGACTGCCGAGGTGCCGGTGATGCCGTCCAGTAAGTAGTTAGCCTCTGCGTGGGGAGAGGGAACTGAGATCCAGTAGGACGCAAGCCAGGGCACCTTAGGATATACCCCTCCCCCATCCCTGCTCTAGGGAAGAAGGGGGTGCCCCCCTGCTCCCTACTTCCCTGCCTGTCAGAGCCCTGGAGAGCCTTGGGTTGCAGTGTGATGTGCTGGGCATTGCCCAGGTGTTCCAGCCAGCTGATGTCTGTTCTGTGGAACAAGGGAGACAGAAGGTCTGAGTCCAGTTCTTGGTAACGGGGTAGCCCTTGTCACAAAGCTATCGTCACCTGGCTCCCCTGGCCGGTGGCCTCTGGAGAGGGGGCCAGGATGGAGCGGGCCAGGCAGGTTGAACTCCTCTCTTGGAGAGGCCCTAGAGGCTGAGGCACGTGGAGGAAGGTGCCCTGCTGCCGCCTGTGTAGTACAGGAGGGTGTGCCAGAGGGGCCAACCTTCTCCCTGCCCAATATACACTTCCGAAAGGGACCCCTCCTAGCTAGCGCTCAGTGAAGAGGTGTCTGGGAATGTGTCCAGGGAAAGAGAGGCCCAGGGAGTCGGATGTGGGCTCTTGGTTCTGTATTTGGTGGGGTTGCATGGATGAAGCCAGGACAGTGATTTCCCAGGCAGAGGTTTCTCAGCCATGAGATCTCTCTAACCCAGCCTCTTTCCATGGTCATAGGCGCCTTCTGCTCCCGCCGGTGGGCGCTCGACCCTCCTCTACCCCCCAGCCCCGCCCTGACTCCACCCCTTCCATGAGGCCCTGCCCCGCCCCCATTCCAAGTCCCTGCCCCAACTCCGCCCCCTCCCTTCTTCCCCAAATCCCCACCCCGGCCCCTCCTCTTCCCCGCCACGTTCCCGCTCCTCCCCCCACCCCAAAGCGGCCAAACAGCTGTTTGGCGGTGGCCAGGCAGGAAGCGCTGCGAGGTAGGCGGAGGAGCGGGGACGCAGCACGCTCAGGGGAGGAGGAGGTGGGGCGTGGGGGAGCTTGGCTGCCAGTGGGTGCACCAGCCCCTGAGCACCCACGGAGTCGGCGCCTATGGCCATGGCAGCATTTCCCTTTTTCTGTGTCCTCCCCTTCGCGAAGGGCCTGCATTGCACGCTCAGTGCTTTCTCTTTCTGCCAGGTAAATTTCAAGTGGTGATTCAGAAATCCTGACCTCTTGCTGGCGGCTGGGAACGGGTAGAAGAGAGGCAGTGGAGCAGGCTGCAGCCCTGTTTCAGTGGAGCTGGTTTCTGCTTTCTGGGTACCAGGATGTCATAGGTTTGCAATAAAATGTTTTTGATTTCCATTCGTCTATGCTGCTCTCCCGGGTAACCAGCCAGCTTCCGTCAGATGTGGGGCTGGCCTGGCAGCCTAATGCTGGTGTTCCAGTCCTACCCCATGGAAGTGAATGAGCTCGAGCTAGAGGGGTGTGAAGAATATCCCTCCCTGTCAGACGTGCAGTAGCAGAAAAGTGGTGGCTGTGACCTGAGGCTTTGGGAGTGATTCTCAGGTCTCTGGGTGAGCAGGGATTCATAGATTCATAGATTGTAGGGCTGGAAGGGACCCCGAGAGGTCATCGAGTCCAGTCCCCTGCCCTCATGGCAGGACCAAATACTGTCTAGACCATCCCTGACAGACATTTATCTAACCTGCTCTTAAATCTCTCCAGAGATGGTGATTCCACAGCCTCCCCTAGGCAATTTATTCCAGTGTTTAACCACCCTGACAGTTAGGAACTTTTTCCTAATGTCCAACCTAAACCTCCCTTGCTGCAGTTTAAGCCCATTGCTTCTTGTTCTATCCTTAGAGACTAAGGTGAACAAGTTTTCTCCCTCCTCCTTATGACACCCTTTTAGATACCTGAAAACTGCTATCATGTCCCCTCTCAGTCTTCTCTTTTCCAAACTAAACAAACCCAATTCTTTCAGCCTTCCTTTATAGGTCATGTTCTCTAGACCTTTAATCATTCTTGTTCCTCTTCTCTGGACCCTCTCCAATTTCTCCACATCTTTCTTGAAATGCGGTGCCCAGAACTGGACACAATATTCCAGTTGAGGCCTAACCAGGGCAGAGTAGAGCGGAAGAATGACGTCTCATGTCTTGCTCACAACGCACCTGTTGGAGGAAAGATGGGAGGTGGAACCATTTGTTTCTTTGTGATAGTGGGAGTGGCTCCATGATCAGGGGTTTGGCTCTTCCAGCCTGTGAGTTCTTGCTGGCCTTTGATTCTTGCTGCTTGCAGCCTGTGGGAGGGAGAGGGGCACAGAAAAATAGTGGGTGCCCAGCACCCACCAGAGCTGTTCGGTGGTGTCACAGATCAGCTGTTTGGGAGGCGCTTGGGGGAGGACGGAGAGCAGCAGGCAGGCAGGGGCCTCGGGGAAGGGGTTGGAGTGGAGACAGGAAGAGGCGGAGTGAGGGCGGGGCCTCGGGGAAGGGGGCAGAGCAGGGGTGGGAAGAGGCAGAGCAGGGGGGGGAGAAGAGTCAGAACAAAGGCGGGGCCTCAGGGGAAGGGCCGGAGTGGAGGCGGGACCTCGGGGCAGACTGGGGGGTGAAGTACCCCCGAGGGAAAATAAGTCAGTGCCTCTGCTCCAGACCCAGCAATCAGGGCTCCAATTCACATGGAGTATGGCATGCAGGGACTGCAGCACCACTGTAGCGAGAGTAAAAGGCAGCCCTAAGTACCCTTGTCAGACGCCAGTGGCGGCCCTGGGCTCTCCCGCTGCTCCTTGTAGGGGAGATACCTTACGTGTGTTCTCTCTGGAGCTCTCTGCTGGGACAGCTTGTCAGCATCTGCAGGCCCTGAATGGTGGAGGTCGGTGTGTGTGCACAGTGGGCACCGGCCAACACAGGCAGCTCTGCCAGGTGCCAAGCATGGCCACAGCCCCAGATAATTCCCAGTCCTAGGTGCTGCCTCTTGCCTGATTCCTCCGCTGACACAACCTAGCCTCAGTGATGCCACACTTCCAGTGAGGTACCGCAATGAATCCACAGCGACACAAGAGGCAGCGGAGCAGAAGAGACTGTCAGGAGCCCATGCAGGGCAGCCACACAAAGGGCTTGTTAATGAAACGTTGTGCTGTGTGCAGCTGGTCAGAGCACGGCAATGCTCTGCACCTTGCTCTGCGCCCCCTTTGCTGTCTCTGAGCTCCAGGCTCGCTCCCCCAGGCTCCTGCTCTTGCTTTCTCCACCCATCAGAGTCCAGGCCGTGAGGTCTGATGAAAGCCCCAGCTTGGCACACGTTCCTAAGAGACATTTGCGCCCAGAAATGGTGATCTGAGAGGGTTGGAGCTTTCTGTACATCATGGATGTATTGCAGTATTGGTCTAATGAATCACTAACAGCAATTAAAGTCCCTCACAGGACTGGGCCACTAGGAAATGTTTTTGCATCTTTAGCATGGCCCAGTGGAGTCTGTCAGAGCTTCCCAAAGCAGGTTTGACCTCCAAATAATGGCAGGAAACGAAGAAGTCAGCAGATACTTATCGCGGCTCCGAAGTGTGAAAAAGGGCCCAGAGCCCCCGTGTGAGGGATTATACCCCATAACATTCCACAGCTCCTGTTCATGAGCAGAAAACTTTGTTAGCTCAGTGGTTTGAGCATTGGCCTGCTAAACCTAGGGTTGTGAATTCAATCCTTGAGGGAGCCATTTAGGGAACTGGGGTAAAAATCTGTCTGGGGATTGGTCCTGCTTTGAGCAGCGGGTTGGACTAGATGACCTCCTGAGGTCCCTTCCAACCCTGATATTCTATGATTCTACTCATTCATGCCCCTCCAGAACACTGAGTCCAGCTACACTCAAACTTCTGAAAACCAGGAAATACAAAGTAAAGATCCAACCCTAATTCAGATCTCTTTTTTTGGTGAGATTACAAGTCTGATTGATAAAGATAGCAGTGTTGATGTGGTACACTTAGACTTCTGTAAGGCATTTGACTGGGTACCACTGTGACATTCTATACCTTGGGGGAGCGTCCTGTAACCCCATATTCCTCATTTACATATAATTGTGATCTTGCATATAAAGCATGCCTTATAAGGTATCAAGGGAGAGGTTATGATCTGCTGAAAGTCATTTTTCTATCCGTATATGTACATCATTAATGCATATGAAGTTATGAGAATTGTGTTGTATGGTTGTCACTAAAGCTTGCTGTAAATTGGGGAATCAGCCAGATATTAGCTCCCCAGTAAGGAAAGTAACCAATGCCCAGGCGGGTGTCAAATAACCATCGACAGCCATTGTCCAGCAAGGGAGCTACAATGCAATGACTCACCTGCATGAGGCTACACCAGGGGAATTGCCCAATCTTGCCTGGGGACTCAGCAATGCCCCCAGCCATGCCTGGACTTGTGCTCTACCAGCACATGGACTGAAGGTATAAAACTGAACACAGGGGGCCCAGGCTGGGCCCTTCTCCTGCCCTCACCTACGCTGCAAGCAACCAAGACACTGAGAAGAAGACAAGACTTCAAAGAGGAGATTGGCCCAGGTTTAAGGAACAAACCTGTATATTAAGGACTGCAATATCCAACGGGGTGAGAAAAACTGCTTAATCTAGATGTTGCCCAGTCTAATAGAATTGAGAGTTTAGAAGAATATGTGCTGTAATTATTGACAATACTGCTAAGAAGGTATACCATACATTCAGGTGTGCACACCCCCGGTCATAAAGATCCTGGGCAGTAAACAGGGAACCAGGTGTGGTTAATATTGTATTCACTGTTGGTATTTTATGAATTGAGAATGTTTATGATTAAAAGGTATCCCCACCTTCGGTCGTAGCAGGGCTGAGAAACAGGAGAAAGGTTTAGATCCCTCTCTCCACCCCAGACTGCTGCGGGGAAATAATTGCAGGTGGGTATACCCCTGATTGTAGTATGGTCAGGCAGTAAGAGGAGGACTTTGAGATCCTCGCTCCAAACCGAAAAATCCTAGGTGCATACAGCCTCAGCCGTAGCAAGACTGAGCACAAGAGGAGAACTTAGGGTTTCTCGCTCTGATCCCTGGGAGGGGTTTTTATATTTGGTGTATAAACCCCCGGTCGTAGAAGTGCCGGGCAATAGGGGGAGGATTAGAGTTCTCGCTCCTGTTGGGGAAAACTATATAGATAAGATATATACAGTGTAGTATTTTGTTTGTTTGTGAGTGATATTGTGGTAATTTCACAGTTTTAAAAAAACGTTTAAGGAAAGGGACCAGGAGGGGTGGGGGATAGTTAAGGAGCCCACCCTCCTTGCTAAATTGGTAGTGGAACAAAGACAGTGTCCATAAAAAGGGACGGTTCAGTGAGGAAAACAGGATCGGGCCCAGACAAGCAGGCAGGCAACAGATTAAAAAAAAATTGAAAACCAGGTTGGAAGCCCCGAGGGCCTAGGGGCAGGAGTGAGAAAAAAGGGAAGTACAGGCTTGGGAATTTCAGATCCCCGGAACAATCCTTGGAATGGTGAAATCTGAGTTGATGAAGGTGTCCTTTTAGAAGATAAGCAAGTGATTTAAAAAAAAAAAAAAAGGTAAGAAGTTAACACTGCAGAGGCTGAAGGAAATTAAGCAGTCAAACGTTGTAAAAATGTTTTTTTAAAAAGTATTATAGAAAGAAAATTCTTGGTTTCTTTGCACCCATGCTGAAGGGAAGATGGGCCCTTTTCCGAAGGAATGTCTGTCAGTAAGCCAGGCAAAGACACACTCTGATTTAAATCATTTGACTATAAACAATTTAGTCAAATTTGCTAAAAGAACATAAGGGGTTTCTATTGGAACTTAACTGCTCCCAAATGTATAAAGGGGATGTAATCTGTGTACTGCTATGTAAAAATGGAGCAGTGTAGAGGAATGTTAAAAAAAAATGTGTATGTATCTTTCTGTGTGTATAAATATGTCCGGTTCTAAGGACCAATTGGTTTTGTTTTTAAATAATACCATTCAAAGTTGCAAAACCAAAAAATACTTTTTGCCAAACACAGGTAACTAGTGTTGTTTGGCTTTGATATTTAGCATTTAACCCTTAAGGTCCCTTAATGCTTTATAAGTTCAATATCTTTTTAAAAGACCAAAGTCGCCGTCAAAACCAGGAGAATGAAAAAAGATTCTGGATTTGTTTTTTTGGTAACAAAATAGCAAATAAGAGTTGTAGTAAAAGAAGAAGAAAAAAGACAGTGTCCCACACTGAGCCTTAAGGTGACTCTGTGTAATGAAACTGTCGCTCTGATAAGGGTACATAAAAACTCTGCGAGCACAAAAAAACCCCAGCTACACCTTATGTAAAAATTAATATGGCTGATGTTATAAAAGTTAAACTGTAAAAGGAATGTGCATTTTCCCCAGAATATGTGTAATGTATATTGTAAAAGGGATAAAAAAAAAAGGAAAAATAAAAAAAAATTGCAAACTTGGTCTACTGTATAAAAAAGGGGAAACCGAGGCACAAAATCAAACACTAACGAAAAAGGATTTGGCACTAATTCAGACAACGGGGTTCAAAGTAGCCTTAGATAAGGTTCAATTGGTGCAGCCCCAAGTTACATATTACATGCGCCAGCAATGC